GACTGATAGGTCACAAGGGAAAACAAAGCTCCAGAGATGCCAAACATGTTTTCATTGAGAGTTCTGCCCTATGTAAAAATATTTTAACTTCTTTAAGAATTTCACTGTGTGTTAATATTTCTTTTTTAAATTTTGATACAGAAATAGCTGGTATTTGAGAATGAGAGTCCAAAAGAACTAAGTCAGTGTATAAGCCTATTGAAAAATAAAGCATGTTTACTAACCGGTTCTTTTTCTCTTTCGTGTTCTAATCTTGCAATCTGTTCATTCAGTGCCTTGTTTTTTGCTGCTAATGATTCCAGCTTGAAAGCATCCACATTAAATAAATCCTCTGGAGACAAAACCCAAAAACTTCATAAGATCTCAAATCTGCCTGGAACATTCTTCCCCAGGCTTTCACCATTGCTTTCTCCCTCATTTCCTTCTGATCTCTGGCAAAACACTGTCAGTGAAGGACATCCTGCCCTTCGTAAAACAACAAACCATTCTCTTTTCTCCACTATACTCTGTACCTCCTTACCTTGCTTTACTTTTGTCTGTAGAACTTAACACTGCTTGACTTATAGTTGTTCATTGATTACTGTCTCTAAAAGAATGTAAAATCATTAAGGGCAGGGATTTCTGTCTCTTATTCATGACTGTATCCTTGGTGGCTGGCACACAGACAGTAGGTATAGATTATTTGAATAAACGAATATAATTTATGTGATTAATTATAAACAGAAATATCAAAGAACTCAACAGATGCTTTTTGTATTAGATCACTACAAATTTTCCTCTTTTAAAACAAATATCATTTACCTTGTTCCCTTTCTCATGTGGAGAAGCTGAAATTATCCTGATTGCTCTTTGGGAAGATATAGCCCATGGGAACATAAGGGATTGCTTTCACCTGTTGTGCTAACAGCGGCAAGGAGATGTTCTCTTGTTTTGATTGATTTGATTATCTTTGGAAAAACAGCTCTACACATCTTAAATTTATCTATTTTTACCTACTACACTGGCATTTTGTATACAAGATTATTTCAATAAGAGGAACAAAAATGTAAAATACCTCTGGAACATTTTAGAGTTAGTCAGTTAATATTGAATGTCACTAGATTATAGCTGAGTGGAAAAATAAAGACTTTCATTCTTTGGAAATATAACGGCCCATTAACCTTCTGTCATAAATTTTTAAAGAGACCTTAGGTCTTTTGACTAATTGGTGCTTTTAATTACTCAAACAGTAAAGCAAGGACAGCACAGAAATATTATCCTCTAAGAAGAAAAACATTTGCTGATTATCTTCTGTGCTCCTAGTAATGTGTTTGATATACATGGCCATCTAATCTTGCAAAACTTTGTTAACAAGTAGTTTAAGGTCACATAGCCAGTAAGGGGTAATGCCTCAGGTCTGATTCCAACACCAGTATTCTTTATGCTTAACAATTAGTTCTCTTCACTAAGGAACAAATATATAACTCCTATAATATAACTCATATAAACATTGGGTATATTAAGCTAAGCTACGCTACAACTCCGTGGGTACAGTTAAATAAATGACCAAAAGCAAGCACGCTAGGAATGAGAACACTTACTCAGCTTTGACTGCAACTCTGCATTNTTCCCCAGGGCTGTTCCCATCCCCCCAATTCCTCAATAAAAATCTTTAAAAAAAAAAGAATCTCGCTTATTAATTACAAGGTGTAATAAAATATATATTTTTATCCATGAAGCATATGTTCTTAGGTAAGGTCCCTCTTGGCTTCAAAAAAACCAGGTGCCTGAAAATATGTTAAAAGGTATAATAGGTTGAATAATGGCCACCCAAAAATATGAAATCCTAATTCCTGGAATTTGTAAGCATTGCTTTATTTGGAAAAATGAATTTTGCAGAAGTGATTCAGTATTTTAAGAAGAGGAGAAATTACCCTAGATTATCTAGGTGGGCCCTAAATGCCATCATAAATGTCCTTAAAAGATAGAGGCAGAGAAATTAACACTGACAGAAGAGGAGAGAGAGACACACAGAGAAGGCAATGTGGGAATGGAGGCAAAGAACAGATTTCTCCCAACAGTCCTTGGTGCAAGCTGACCTTGCTGGGTTTTGGACTTCTAGCCTTTAGAACTGCGAGTGGATAAATTTCTGTAGTTTTAAGCCACCAAGTTTGTGGTAATTTGTTACAGCAGCCTCAGAAAACTAATACAGAAAGCACTGAAAACTTGGTAGCCTACAATAGCAATTTATCATTAAATGAAAAAAGATGACAAAGCTATCTCTATATGTAATAAATTCCCACATAGGTCCCCATTCCAGTCTGAATGACCTCTTTTAGCATTAGTTGTGCTTACCTATTCTAGAAATTTCTTCATCAAGACCATTCAATTTCTGGTCAAGAATGGCTGCATGAGACTCCAAATTGCTCATGTATGCCTGATATTTTTGAACATCTGCTTGTAAGGAAACTTTCAGTTTTCTCAATGACTCTAGACGATTCTTTAAAAGAAAATAACATTAAATTAGTTATTCTCATCAACAATCATTCCATACTTTACTTAAAAGTGATATTATTTAAATTCATCTTAAAGGAAGGTAGTTTTTTTTTCTTTTTTCTTTTTTTTTTCATTTTTAGAAGGCATGAAAGAACTTAAAAGGGTGGACTTTACTGTTATTACCTAATTAAGAAAAAGTACTTTTTAAGAAGTCAGTTTGGGATAGAAAAAGTCAAGTGCCAGAATGAAAAAGCACAAAAATTTAGAATCTGCTATTGTACAGAACAGTCTAGATCAGCGGTTCTCAACCTTCCTAATGCTGCGACCCCTTAATACAGTTCTTCATGTTGTGGTGACCCCCAACCATAAAATTATTTTTGTTACTACTCTATAACTGTAATTTTGCTACTGTTATGAATTGTAATGTAAATATCTTTNGTGTTTTAGTAAAATGTCAATGCTTACAAATTTTTACCTCCTTAGCCAAATTATTCTATACACTCAGTTATGAATTGGGATAGATCTTTACAAAGGTCAGCTCTGGTGAACTGCCACTCTTGAAATGATAAGACATACCGCTTCTTTGCCTCTGGCATATTTTAGCTCCTCATTCCATAACTGCTGTTGTTCATCCTCCAGGTCCTTGGTTAATTTATTAATGGTCTGCTGCAATTCATTTCTTTCATGATTTATTCTCTCAATGTCCGCAACTGAGTACTTCTGGTTATCAACAATATTCTGTAGTCGAGTATTCTCCTGTTTCATTGTTTCGGATTCTAGTTCTGCATTGAAAAAAATCAATTTTGTTCAGTTTTCTCAATTCCTACAAAGAAATTATGCCACCACTTAATAGAGTTGATAAAGGTGTCTTAAATTTCCAAATAATGTACATGTTTGTCTCCTTTTTAAAAGAAATTATTTACTTTTTTCAGTTAGTTGACATTATTGTTTTATATTAGTTTCAGGTGTATAGCATAGTGGTTAAACATTTATATATTTATGCAGCGATCCCCTTGATTAGTCTAGTACAAACCTGGCACTATATATAGTTGTTGTAACATTATTGACTATACTCTCTATGTTGTACTTTACATCCCCGTGACTATTCTGTAACTACCAATTTGTATTTCTTAATTCCTTCACTTATTTTTACCCAGCTTCCCACCCCACTCTCCTCTGGTAACCATCAGTTTGTTCTCTGTATCTATGAGTCTGTTTTTGTTTTGTTTGTTTGTTTATTTTGTTCTTTAGATTCCAAATATAAGTGAGATCATATGGTATTTGTCTTTCGCAGTCTGACTTATTTCACTTAGCATAATACCCTCTAGGTACATCCATGTTGTCGCATTTCTCCTTTTTGATAATTGTTTGATCCCATTTTGTTAATAACATTCTTGAAAGATGATACAATTAAAGTTTTATGTGAACCTTATTTTTCCTGGCATGCTATGGTTTTCAGAAAGTGCTACATGAAAAAAAAA